AACATGCGCGCCTTCTTACGGCCATCCACCGGGCGGTCCGGCTGGTGCCGGTGGTCCAATGTCGTGCTGGCCATCACTGTGACGCCGTCGTCGACCGCCTGATCTAGGAAGCGACTCCGCGCGTTATGGTTGCACTCGCCAGTGCCCTGGCCTGCCAGGGATGTCTGCCCGCGATCGACTTCCATCTCGATGCCGCGCTGGGCAGCGCTCCCTGCGCTGATGTAGGTGAAGGTCTCGGCCGACGCCTCGTTGTCTGGTCTGGGAGTGGCCCCCCCGCAGCATGGGCAAGGGGTGGCCAGGTGGCCCGATGAAGTCTTCTCCAGCGCGAGCACCTGCGCGCCCTTGCCAAGTTGCACCTTGTACATGTGAGCGCCTGGGAAGATGATGCGCTCCTTGCCTTGCTCCGAGATAGGCATCGTCCTCTTCCGCGCCGGAGCCCTCGACGATATTGCCAACGAAGGCGTCCGCATTTGAGGTTGGCGGCTTGTTGTGGCGGTGCTATTGGCACGCAATCTCGAATGCCCCCAGAGCGCGGCATGCTGCTGCACCACTGCCCGCGCTGTTGACGTGGAGCAGCCTTTCCAGGTTTATGATCCTTGGCGCGTGTCCATGCTGTCAGGATTGGTTATCAAATTCCCGTGCGGCGTTGGCTCCGATGATGTTGATGTTCGGGCCGACGTGCACCAGCGCGCTGAGTTTGCCAGGGCGCAGCGTCCCGAGCGTGCCTGCTGGGGTTGAGATAGCGGGCGTTTCCGCGCCCATCTGTCGTTGGGGCCTCCTCTGGCGCATGATAGACAGCATCCGCGAGATCCAGCGTCGCATGATCCGAGTTGTTCTGGAACATGGGAATCTCCCCCGCGGTTGCAGGCTCCTGCTGTATTGACCAATCAGCGTGCCTTTGGATATTGAGGGGTTCGGGCAGGGCGCTCGTGGCCTGGAGCGTGGTGCTCATCTCGGAGTTCTGTAGCATGAACGCTGTGAGTCTGCTCGCACATTGCCCGCTCGACCTCCACTGCTAGGTCCACGTTCGCATCTCGGCTGGGCCTCGAGATGGGGGCTCGACCCTTCTGTTTGTGACCGAGCGGGGTCTGCGCTGGAGGTCGTGGGCCCGCTGCCGCCTGCCGTTGCTGCTCCGGGCGGTCCAGCAGTGGATTGCTCAATGAGTTGGGCGTAAAGTGGGCAGCAGGTGCCCCCGCATCTTGAATCGATGGGGCGTTCACTGCAGGTGCCCCCCCCCCGTCGTGTAGATGCGGGATTGGCGTGGCCATGGCTGGGGGCGCTGCCGGCGTCGCGTGGCTCGCGGCCGAGATGTTTGCGGGAATTGACAGCAAGGATTCATCCAGCCCCCCACGCCGGTCGGAGATCTCCTGGGCCTGCTGGAGAGCCACGGCGGCTGAGGTGTTTGTTAATGTGGCCCGCGTGCGGACGTTCCACCGCAGTGGCGCCTGGCCCCCTGCAAATGGCGCGTGGGGCCTCTGCGTCGGCCCCTGCCCTGCCTCTCGACCGGCGTGCCTGGGCGTTGCGGTTCCTGCGCTCTGCGTGGCATTGGCGCCCGCGTTGCAGTCTCCACATATTCTCACGCGATGCGAAGGACTCGAGGCGCACCGCGCGCTGTGTGAAGGGTATGTCCGACACTACGGGCGCCCGTGTTGGGGTGTGTCCGCCCATGGCTTTGCAGCGTGGACTCCGACGCCGCGCGTGGAGGTGGCGGCGGCCCGCCCCTGGACCTCGGAGTCGACCTAGCTGTGGGCGCGCGCCCGCGCTGGGCGTTATTGACCATCTGCTGCGCGCGCCTGGCAGTTCTGTCCCGCGCAGCCCCCCGGGCTTCATCTGCTGCGCGCATATTTGCCTGCATCATCGTGTGGGTGTCGTGCAAATATGTAGGCAAAGTGCTTGCGGGTGGATCGATCTCGAGGGCAAGCGGTTGCGCCCTGGTTCCTGGGTCACCCGGCGGTGGTTGATAGCCCATGCGCGGCTGCGTCTCTGCGCCTGGAGCGCGCGCCGCCTGCAAGCGGTAGAACGCATCCGCCATATCCAGCGTGCTTGGCCCTGGGTCAGCTGGCCCGCCCTCGGCGTTCCATCGACCTCCGCGAAGTATTCGGGAAGCGGCGGCTGGCCCTTACGCGGCGCGGCCGGCCCCGGGCGCTGCAGAGGAGTCGGGCGCGCAGCGAACGCACGACTGAATGGTAACCTGTCCGGGTGGTCTGCCGGGGGGCTCGTGTCTGAGCGCAACTCTCACATGGCGCTCGACGGGGATTCGTGGAGAGCGCCATCGCGCGCGGGTCGCCCTGCCGCGCAGAGCACAATCGCAGAGGCAGACGCGGCAGGCAATTCTTGCATGGATGTCCGTACTTGCAGGGAGACGATCGAATTCGCTCCAGTCTTCGGGGAGATAATGGGGTCCTCGTCTGTATTTCCATCCCGCTCATGCTGCGAAACCGAGCCGGGGTGCGGCGCTCCTTTTGCGACATCTCATTGACGGGAGGCTGTGGCGGCAGTGGAAGAATGGGGATTCGTGGGGCGGATGTCATGCTTTTGCTGTTTTCAATGAATTTAGCTTGCACCCCTTGCATGTGCCTGTAGTGCGCCTGCGATGTTTGCCACTGCCCTTGCCTTCAAAGAACAAATCTTCGAAGCCGTGATCGGTTTGCCTGGCCAGGGGCGCGGCCATCTCTTCGCCGCGCGATCTGCGGGTGCGTCGGCCACCCTTTCCGCGGCCCTTGCCCTTGCAAAAGAAGACGCGGCGTGCTGCTCGCATAATCTGCTGGCTGGCTTCTTCGCGTGTCGCCTCCACCTTCTCTTGGCGCGAGGGTATCCTAGATGTGGATCTCGCGCTGCTTCGTCGTCGCTGGCGGGTGGATCCGACCGATCGAAGTGTTCGGCGCCAATTGGGGGGGCCGCGTCGGCGTCCGTGCCCGGGTCGGGGGCTTCATCTTCATGTTGGCTGGGGGAACTCGAGGGTGGTCGCGTCGGGCGGCGCGCGCCCGGTGGCCGATGGCCAGCCGGGGTTGGAGCCAGAAGCCGATGCGCTATTGGCTTCTTAGCCCAGAGGTGTTGCGAACACAACGGGTTCTCCATCGTTCCGGACGCTGGTCGGCGCGGCTGCCGGCGTGTCGCATATTTGGGCATGGCATGTGCCAGCGTTGCCGCCGCTGGAGATGCTCCCGGAATTTCGGGGGGAACGCCCAGCCAAGTGTCCATGGCTACGCGTGCGCTCCAGGAACCGGTCGCGCTGTGTACGGGGCATCCGGTGGTTGAACGGTTGCAATGGCTGTGCTGTCTTGGAGGTGCCAACTCCCAAGGCACGATATGTACCTAGCGTCAATAATGGAAGTTGGGCATGTTGAAGCCCGCTGAGTCCGCTGCTAGCCTGGTAAATTCCAACCGGGCTAATGCTGAGTCGATGCTGTTCGCCCCCGCCGACCCTGAGGTCGACGAGGGCTGTCCCCCAGGTGTGCTGTCGCTCGTCCTCGAGGTTCTCGAATTTGTTGCTTAGAAGGTACATGATGTACGTGGCTTCGTCGGTGCGTCTACCCTGTAAGGCTTCACCGTAGTTGATGATGGTAGACGGCGCCGTCATAGCCAGTGTCCTAGCTAAGCCCCCTAGGCCGCGCTCTGTTGCAACGGCATGTTGGGGTGGAGTCATGCTTCCGCTCGCGACGTGAAGCCATGCGTGTACTTCGCGACCGCAGTCGCGGAAAAAGTCCGTTGCCTGCGGGGTCCCAGGAAACAGGGCCCCGAGTGCGCGTTTGATCCATTCCTCCTCCTCGCATACGTGTCCCACGGCAAAGCCTAGGCACGCCCATGTGATTCCAAATATTGCAACCTTGACATCGTGCATAACTATATTGTAGTTGCTGGTGTCAGGTCTTGTATCATTGGTGTTTGTCGCACCCGTGGGGTTGCGATTGGGTGTCTGGTCTGACGTGGCCGTCAATTTGTGAATGGGTGTAGGTACTTGGTCTGTGCGTGACGTGTTGCTAAACGGTGGGGAAAGGGAGGAGTAGGAATGTTGGTTACCAATTGGTTTAAGAGCGTTGAGGGTGTAAGGGTTGATCGCTGGCGCAGTCGGGCACTCCACTGTGTCGTGGTACATTGCTGTGCACATAACACCGAATGTAAAAGCCAACCACAGAAAGATGAGGCCAGGTCCGCTACCAAGTTAAAATCAAAAGGGTCAGGGGCTTGTCCATGAGGTAATTAGCTGAGACCCCAGCTCTCACGATAACTTCGTAGACGTATCGAAGTATCCCATAGCTTGTCCCTTGATGGCAACGAATATGAGGAAGAAGAGGCAAGACATGGGATGGAGATGTGAACCGTCGGTGGATGTGGCCTTTATCCGACGCTCAGGTCCGATAGTGTCTCACAGGCGCGAGACATGCAAATAGGGCAGCGCTGCCTTGAGCCAGTGCAGCGTCGGTAGAATAAAACGTTCGTTGTACATTCCCCCCTTTTAACTCCGTTCAAAATGCACAGACACTCCTAGAGGGCCCCCACCCGCCCAATGATCGCTCCAAAACGTCCAACATGGGCCCAACACTCCCAAGAGGCCCCCAGGAATCCCCAAGAGGCCTCCCGAGAGAGCTCCAACAGGCCAAACTCGCACACTTAGAACATTTTTGAAGGATTTCGGTCTTCTCGCCTTCTGCTTTCCGAAGTTCCAAGACGGCTCAAGAAACTGCGAAGACAGCTCCAAGACGCCACGAGGCCTCCAAGAAAGCCCCAAGACGGCCGAAGAGGGCCCCAAGACGGCCCAAGAGTTGCCCCAAAACGGCCCCAACACGGCCCCAGGAGGGCCCTCCGAGGGGGACCACGGGCAGAAAATTCAAGCCTTCCGCCCCGAAAGGGTTCCAGGAGGCCCCACGAGAGCCCCGAGAGGCGCCACCCCAAGAGGTCCCCGATGGGCCAGGAGGCCCCCAAGAGCCCCAAAACGGCAGCAAAGAGGCACCCCAACGAACATCCACAACCCAGGCACGGTTGCGGGATGGGCCGAAGGCCATGATATATCCTGAACCACCGCCATGAACTCGTTCGAAGAACTCTCGGCATCGTTCTCATCAAGCTCTACGAGCCGGAGCTTCCTGAACGACTCTGAAAACATCTTGTGTATACGCTGCATGCAGGGGATGTCTCGCCACTGGTCCGAGGAGCTCTCGATCTGCTTAATCCTGGTCGCAAACCTCAGGGGCAGCTCCCTGTGTATCAGCCTCGCGCACGCCATCGGCGTCGAGTGCGCCAGAATCTTTGGCAGCGTGATCGGCTTGTACTGCCCCCTTCCCATGTACTCGATCTCGTGCTTCAGGAACACCTCGAGGCGCTCCTCCGACAGCGCCATCGTAGCTTGCCCACGGCGGAAACCATCGTGGCTCGCCCACCAGCGGGCGACATCGTTCGGCGACTCCGAGGGGTGGGGTTTGGAAAGAGTGCGGCTTGCAACCCGCACCCTGGGGGGCGGGTGAGGATTCTCCGCCGCGCCCCGAGGCCCGACGACGGCAACGTGGTGAACTCCCAGGCCGCAACCGACGCAGATCGCAGACCACACCCCGGCGTGACCACACCCTTCGTAGTCGCCGAATCGCGGCTCGGCCACGGCGCGCCCACGGCCCAGCGCTGCCCAGCACCGCGGCGGCCCGGCGCCAGCACCCGCCAGGCGCGCATGGAGCGGCGGGTGCTCACTGGGGCTGCCGCCCAGTCGGTGACCCGTGGGAACACGGCGGCCGTCTTCGTCACGGGATCGGTCAGGATCGAACCGGAAAATCGGATCGAATCGAAATCTGCAGCTGATGGGACTGCATCGGCATGGAATCGAACTTGAATCGGACCGACCGCGCCAGGAAGCACACCAGCGTCGTGCCGCGGCCGGCGGGCGTCCGCCCACAGTCGGCGCCCCGTGCGAACACAGAGGCTGTTCTAATCGTGAGCTCGGGCCTCCAGGAGCTCTGAACATCCTTTTGGGGACCCATAGAATATACACCACCACCACCACCACCACCACGTCGATTCCTCCTCTCTCCTCTACCCTCCTCTTCCTCTCCTCTTTCCCAGGAGAGGGAGGGGGTGAGGGAGGTGGTGGTGTATATTTTTTGGCCCCCCACCTTTGACCGATCCCTGGGACATCGGTTTCGGTGTGGGGTTCGTGTCGTGCGTGCGGGCGAGGCGGAGCTGCGTGGGTGGGCGAAAGGAATAATGACCCCGCCGTGGCCAAGGCGGAGCAAGACAAGGGACCGCCCCTCTGGTGGGCCGGCGTGGCCGGGGGTGTCCCGCCGTGGTGTCCCGCCGTGGTGTCCTGTTGGTGTTCCGTCGGTGTCCCGTCGGTGTACCGTCGGTGTCCCGTGGGTGTCCTGTTGGTGTCTCGTTGGTGTCCCGCAGTGGGTGTCATGTCGGTGTCCCGCTTGTGTCCAGTTGGTACCCTGTCGGTGTCACGTCGGTGTTCCGATTGGTGCCCCTTTGGTGTCCCGATGGTTTTTCGGTGGTGCCCCCGATGGTGTGTTGTTTCCGCTGGTGTTTTCATGGTGTGATTGTGGCCCGATCATGTCCAGATGGTTTGGGTGAGACGTTGGACCCGTCCCATCCCCTACAACCTCCTTATCGCCCGAAGAGTGGTCGTGTAGGTATATGATCCAGGGTTGCCCCCCCCATGCGTATGGGATCGAGCCCCCTCCCCCGCTGGGTGGGTACGCCCGTGAGCCTCGAGGTCTCGCGAATGGAATCGCTCCCCCCCATCCCTCTTGGTCGTTGCCCTGTGGGCGCGGCGCGGCGTAGTGGAAGGTGCGGGTGCATCCCCCGCCGCTCCGCTGTTGGTGTAGGGTGATTCGTCGTCGTCGTCGTCGTCGTCGTCGTCGTCGTCGTCGTCGTGGTCGTCGTCGTCGTCGTCGTCGTCATCGTCGTCGTCGTCGTCGTCGTCGTCGTCGTCGTCCGTCGGCGTCGGCGTCGGCGTCGGCGTCGGCGTCGGCGTCGGCGTCGGCGTCGGCGTCGTCGTCGTCGTCGTGGTCGTGGTCGTGGTCGTGGTCGTGGTCGTCGTCTGTCGGCGTCGGCGTCGGCGTCGGCGTCAGCGTCGGCGGCGGCGGCGGCGATGGCGGCGGCGTCGGCGTCGTAGTCGTCATCGTTGTCCTCGTCGTCGGCGGCCGCGGCGGCGGCGGCGGCGGTGGCTTTGGCGTCGGCGTCGGCTTCGTCGTCGTCGTTGTCATCGTCGGCAGCGGCGCCGTCGGCTTCGTCGTCGTCGTCGTCGGTGTCGGCGTCGGCGTCGTTGTCGTCCTCGTCGGCGTGGGCATCTGCGTCGGCGGCGGGGCGTCGGCATCTGCGTCGGCGTCGGCGGCGGCGTCGTCGTCGGAGTCGGCCTCGGCGTCGGTGTCGGCGTCGGCGTCGGCGTCGGCATCGGCGTCGGCGTCGCTGTCGGCGTCGGCGTCGTCGTCGGCCGCGTCGGCGTCGGCGTCGGCGTCTGCGTCGGCGTCGTCCCCCCCCATCCCATCTGGGGGGGGAGGGCCTGTGGAACCCCGGGACCAATCTGGGCCGCACAGTAGAGGCCGCGCACGAGAGGCCGCCTACGCGCCCGGAGCCATGTTTTGGGTCGAGAACTCCGAAGCCCTACGCGCTGGGAAAACATCAGGACGTCAGGGGTATCCGCACGCATGGCTGCCAGGGAGGCCCTGGCCATCTATCCTCCTCCTCCTCCTCCTCCTCCTCCTCGTTCAACTCCTCCTCCTCATCCTCATCTCTCCTTCTCCTTGGCCTCGAGGTGGCCCCAGAAGACGGAACATCTGGGCGACCTCAGGGAACCACAAGGCCGTCTCTGTCGGTGCATGGGCCCCGTGCGCACCCCGTCTGCGCCCAGGTCAGCGGCGAACGCGAGAGAACAGGGGGAGGAGGGGAGCACGCGTGGCCTGCAGCCCTGGGTGGCTGCAGCCTCCTCGAGGGGCCTGCGGCAGCGCAGACGAGGCTCGAAGGGGCCCTCGATGCTCCGAAAATTGCTCCCCAGGCATGGGCGCCCAGGACGTGGGAGACCTCCTCCAACGCAAGTGGCCTCCCAGGATCGGCACTGCGGGTACTCCTAGCCTCTGGGAGCCCCCCCCACCGAGCACTTCAAAGTCCTCAATATCCCCTCGGGGATCCCCAAAAATCTCCCGCAGTCCCCAAGCCTCCTCCTCCTCCTCCCCTCCTCCTTCTCCTCCCCTCCTCCTTCCTCCTCCCGTCCCTCTCTTCCTCTCCTCCTCCTCCTCCTCCTCCTCCTCCTCCGCCTCCTCCTCCTCCTCCTCCTCCTCTTGTACCTCCTCCTCTTCCTCCTCCTCGTCGTCGTCGTCGTCCTCCTCCTCCTCCTCCTCCTCCTCCTCATCATCATCATCATCATCATCATCATCATCATCATCATCATCATCATCATCATCACCCATCACCACCATCACCATCACCACCACCACCACCGCCACCACCATCCCCTCCTCCTCCTCCTCCTCCTAATCCTCCTCCACATCCTCATCATCATCTATAACATTGCCATAATCAGCATCATGATCATCATCACCATCACCATCACCATCACCATTACCATCGCCATCACCACCACCATCATCATCATGGTCATGAGCATCATCATCATCACCATCATCGTCATCGTCGCCATCACCACCACATCATCAGCAGCATGGGCATCATCGTCATCATCATCATCATCATCATCATCATCATCATCATCATCATCATCCTAATCATCAGTATCCTCATCATCATAATTACCATGCATAGCATTATCATCATCACTTGCATCAGCAGCGTCATCAGCATCATCATCATCACCATCATCACCATCACTATCATCATTCTCATCATCATCATATCATCATCATCATCGTCATCATCACCGCCACCACCACCACCGAACACATCATCATCATCATCATCATCATCATCATCATCATCATCATCATCATCATGACCGCCATCACCATCATCAACATCATCATCAACGACATCAACATCATCATTCCCACCATCGTCGTCATAAGCATCATCATCACCACCGTCATCATCAACATGATCGTCATCATCGTCATCTGAATCGTCAGCATCATCATCATCATCACCATCATCATATTCACCCTCACCCACACCATCATCAACAACATCGTCATGAACAACATGCACATCATGAAAGCCGTACTCCTCATCCTCATCCTCATCCTCTTCGTCATCATCATCAGCATCATCACCTTCGCCATCATCACCATCATCATCACAATCACCATCGTCATCATCGTCCTCGTTCACCTCCTTATCATCCTCTATCCCTCGTGCGTGCTGACTTGCCCTGGAGCCGTCGACGCAGAGCTCGCCAGGCAGCTGTGGACTGCAGGGGCCGAATTCGACAAGCTGGACAAGGTCCGGTCTCATTCTGCCTCACGTTGCATAACAATATCAACATCTACAACGCGTGCATGATGCCGAAGCTGATGAACACCGTCAACACCACGTGGCTGAAAATGGTCCAAATGTTTGATTGGATGCACTTAAACGCGCATTCTTGGAAATAGGTTACACACTCCGCGTTCGTGCATAAGCCGGGTTACCAACCACACTGTTCTCAGCCAAGCGTGGCAAAGCATGCTGCGCAGTTTGTTCTTGGATCGCCAACAAGTTCATGTTTGAGCATCGCTCGGATGAGCATTAGTCATTCTGTACGCAGCGTTGTCTTCCAGCCGTCGACTGGTGAGCTCCACAATCCACCAGCGCGTCGCGGAAGAGGCCGCCCCCGCGCAGTGTGGTCCCGAGAAGCTCAAGGGCACACTGTTCACGCATGTGTGCACATTGGTTTGAGATTGTCTGACATTGTTGTGACTGGCGACCGCGTGGAGGCGATCAGTCCGGGATTACACCCGTAGTTGCTTCTGGAATCCGCCAATCCGCCGAACTGGCTCCTTCTTCTCCGTCTCCCTCCGTTCCTCTCCCCCCAACTGCGTGCCTGCTCTTTCCCTTCCTCTATCTTCGAACTTATTGAAACCACCCTGTTGGACAGGGGCCAAGACCAGATTGCACCAATGCAATTTCGGAAATTTCAGAATGCTGCGCGCCATCCGTGCAATAGTGCACAGGCCACGCACGCCAGAGGAGGGACATGGAGGGCAGGAGAAAAGGGAGGAAGAAACGGATGAAGAGAAGGCAGGGGGCCGCAGAACCACGCCAAGGGCCAAGACGGGCGGAAACATAGCATCCCAGCACAACCCAGCACAATTTTATTCACATGAGCTCAGTTACGTATGTCCAGCGAGCTTCTCACGAACAGCCACAACCAAACGTGCGCGGAGGCCCCCCCCGGAAAGGCCAGCAGGAGGCCCCACGGCGCTC